GGCTGTGCTGTCTCCCAGGCAGAAACCCTTGGGGGATATCCACCTGCTGGCTTAGGCCCGCTCCCCCAAGGAGTCCTTAGCACTGCCGCGGAGGTGGGAGAGGCTTCCACCATTACCACTGCGCTCACCAGCCATGAGCCCGGCTTCTGGCTGAGCAGTGCATATGGGTTTGGTGGTGGGGAACTCCTTTAGCTTTTTCTTGTCTGGGAAACTCATTATATATCCTTCAATTCTAAATGGTTACTTTACTGGGTAGAGTAATCTTGTCAGTAGGTCCTTGCTTTTCATCACTTAGAATATTTCTTGCCAATATCTTCTGGCCTTAAAGTTTCTGTTGAGTAATCAGCTGACAGTATCGTAAGAGTGACCTTGTAGATAACTAACTGCTTTTCTCTTGCTGCTTTTAAGATTCTCTCTTTGTCCTTAACCTTTTGCATTTTATAGCTGTACTAGAGGCTTTGGGCCCATTTTGTTTGGGACTCTCTGTGCTTCTTGGACTACTAATGTCTATTTCCTTCACCAGGTTAAGGAAGTTTTCTGGCATTGTTTTTTCAAATGGGTTTTCAATTTCTTGTTTTTCCCCTCAGCCCAGGCTGTGCTCTCTCGCAGTCAGGAACCCTTGGGGGATATCCACCTGCTGGCTTAGGCATTAGAATATTTCTTGCCAATATCTTCTGGCCTTAAAGTTTCTGTTGAGTAATCAGCTGACAGTATCATAAGAGTGACCTTGTAGATAACTAACTGCTTTTCTCTTGCTGCTTTTAAGATTCTCTCTTTGTCCTTAACCTTTTGCATTTTATAGCTGTACTAGAGGCTCAGTGCACGAGATTTGTGCACTGGTGTGTGTGTGTGTGTGTGTGCCTGGCCTAAGGGGAGAGGGCCTAAGCTGGCAGTCGGATATCCTTAGCTGTGCTGCGGAGGTGAGAGAGGCTTCTGCCACTGCAACTGCACTTGCCAGCCGTGAGCCCCGCTTCTGGCTGAGCAGCACTCCACCTGTGGGAGCTCACTGACCACCCGGGGGCAGCTTCTGCGTTGAGCGTCTGCTCCCTGGTGGTCTGACCACCAAGAGACAGCTCCTGCATTAAGCATCCGCCCCCTGGTGGTCAGTGCACATCATAGTGACTGGTTGTTCTGCCGTTCAGTCGATTGCATATTAGGGTTTTATTATATAGGATAGTATTCCATTGTGTAAATGTACCACAGCTTTTTTTATCCACTCATCTACTTATGGGCACTTGAGCTGTTTCCAGATATTAGCTATTGTAAGTAGTGCTGCTATGAACATAGGTGTATATATATATTTTTTCTGATTAGTGTTTCAGGATTCTTAGGCTATATTCCTAGGAGTGGGATCACTGGGTCAAAGCAGAGTTCCATTTTTAATTTTTGGAGAAAACTCCATACTGTTCTCCACAGTGGCTGCACCAGTCTGCATTCCCACCAGCAGTGCACGAGGGTTCCCTTTTTATCGTGTCTTTACACCTTTCTACGCATGACAAACTTAAATCCCATTATAAAGTGACTTCAATTATCTACTTGTTATTCAAACTTAAGAAGTCAGATAATCATATAGCTTTTCAGTGATCTTTTTGGTCTGGAAAGGAAAATATGTGGATTTTTCTTAACATTTTTGAAGAAATACAGAGGCACAGAAAATCCAGTGATAACAGCAAGATCCTGTAGATGTTGCTAATAAGGTTTGTTAAAACCTGACTTATAAATCTGAAAATTTAAGGTTTACTCAAACATATTCTTTTCAGTTCTGCAAAAGTCTCTTTCCAGTGTGACTTCACTTTTCCACAATTTCAATCCCTTTATTCTGTTACATTAAATGAGATTATAAGCAAGAACGGAATCTATCTACAACTTTCTTATATTTTAGAGCATAAGGAATACATTTCTACTTTATGAGATGTAAGTTGGACCTTTTGAAGTGACTGGCTGAACCCATATTTCTTCAGAAAAGGAGACTAGTATCATTTCATTAACACAGGATCTTGTAGGTAGAATTCTGATTTGGATTTTTCAAAACTAAAGGTGACACTCTGTATATTGCTTCCATTTGCTCATCTGCAAAGAAATAAGGTCATTTTATACAATTTAATAAATATTTATAAGCACTTTCTACTCTTTTCCAAGCGCTGTGCTAGTTATTGGAGCTGATCAAATGAGATAACAGGTGGCAAACTGCTTTGCAACATTTTAAACCGTGCAAAAATATTTCTACTTCCAGGGACATTACTGAAACACTACCTTTTCTTGGAGAAAGTCATTTTTAAAGTTAGGTAATTTTTCTACCTCAGAGCTCTTCAATTAATGACTAGGAACACTGGGATCACAATCATAATTTTATTAATAATCCATAGTTTCATTTATCCCAAGTTGCATAAATATTAAATTGATTCGGATTCACCTTTGGGATAGTTTTCTGTAGGTACCAAGCGGATTTTAACACCATAAATTTTTGACATTATACTTAAATTTTTTTCCTTCTTTCTAATTTGTGAGATAATACTCCATTGTCAAGTTATGAAGCAATCATTTATGTATATTTGTTTCTCAAACTTCTGTGTTTTGCTCTGGTTTCTTGTTAAGCCATCAACCTTCACATAATTTCTTCAAGAATTACATATATGTACTAATTCGAGTTCTAGAAATAGGCTTTTACTTCCATCATCTAGCTATTTTGGATCACTCTTAAATTTCTATATTCATTTATCATTCAAATTGAAAATGGAGGTTTTTGCTACATTTGAAAATAATGGGGTTAATGAAATGTGGTGAAGGGGGGTGGGAACCTCAAAAAATATTGAGGAGCCATGATTTATTTTATGAAAATGATATAGTGCTAAGGCATAAGTTAAAGAAATTGACTGAGTAAAGTACTATAAAAACTTACCTGTAATGGAAATAGCTGTTGTTTTTTTGTTTTGTTTGTTTTTTAAATAATTTGTCCACATGGCAGTGCAATTATATAATATCTATATATAGCTGATGTGGAATCAGATACACTCAGTAGATACATTAGCTTCAGTTTGCTTTTCTAGTATCATCTCTACTTTCCTTTGTAGTACAGATCAGAAGAGTAGAGTTCAAGGACATTGGAGGGTGGAGTGGGGAGGAAATGCATATATGAAAGATCAATGGTCAAATCATTTAAGTGAAGCATGATGGGGTTAAAATACTTAATAATCTTCTCAAATCTATCAAACTAATTTTATTTCATCATTATAATACTTTATTTTTAATACTTTATTTCTTTTTTCTTTGAAAGAAAACAGAACAAAGGTAAATAATACGCAATTTTTACTCTCAAATTTGTAACATACAGAAGCCATATGCAAAACCATAATTTCTGTCTTCTATATTTTCTTTAATTTGCCTCATAATGTCCTTAAGAAATTACACTGTATGTATAATTGCTTATGGGTCTATTAACTGTGTTACCGTATTTTTCCCCTCTCAAGGACTTAGTGTTGGTGCAGTAATAATTGCTATCATAAGTCTAACCAAAATTTTCGGGGACCGTGGAAGATCAGGGTGAGCAGAAATTCTGATGACTTAAAACATTTGCTCTTAGCTTCTTTCCGGTAAAACTTGATATTTTATCATGAATAGATAATTTTCCTCACTTAATTGTCTTTTTAGACATGCTATCTCTTTATCCCTTTTGTCTAGAATCCCTCACTTACATAAGCAGACTTTGTGTCTTTTTAAAAAATTTCTCAATATATTGAAAAAAATTAACAACATTTCAAAGGAAAATGGTTTGAAAGCCAAAGTCTCACTTTGCAGTCTATTAATCAATTTACCCTTTCCTTAGTATAATTTATGGTAGCATATGTGTGTTGCACAAAACCAAAGAAATCTAGGGGCGAAAAAGCCAACCTCTCACATATTGTTAAATCGCCTGTAATTAGGCCTGTCTTTGAGTTGCATTTATTGATGCATGCCAGTCTAGCCAAAGAGGACCGGCTCTGGCATCTGGGTTCTGTCCTGTGTGTCTACTGTTCATGTGCCATGTCACTGTAAGCAACCCGACCTCTCCGTGCCTCAGTTTTCTCATCTGTAAAATGGAAGAAATAGAAAATATACCTTATGGGATTGTAATAAGGATCAAATGAGTTTCCACCTGTAAAGCAGTTAGACCATCACTTGGCATATAGGAGGCCTTCAGATGGTACAATAGGAACACATAGGGGAAAAAAAACAGTCTGATTTGAAACATCTGATCTGCCTTGAACATTCATATATTAAGTCTATTGCCATGGTTGGCTCTGGCATTTTCTGCAGACAAACAGAAGATTACTTAAATTGACCCTCTTCTGGCCCTCTGGGCAGAGGAAACAGCATGCATAAAGGCAAGTCTGAGAAACAGAAGGCTTTTATCTCATTCATCCTTATAAACACGCATGACACCTTAGAAACATAAAAATACATAAATAAATAAATCAACCCTCTTCTGTTACCTTGTAGATGTTATTGTTCAGAAAACTAATTATGGAGTTCATATAAACTCTTGAGTCATTTCTATACTTCCCTGATGGCTCCATTTTCATAAATTAATTAAGAACAACTATATTTACGCGATTACTAAATTGCCCGTCTTAATTCTTTGACGGATGTGAGCTATCTACTTTTTGCCCCACTTAACACTTTCCTTTCTCCTTAAATTAACAAGTATTGTTAAGTAGTATAGTTAAGCCTATTATAAGCATGAACATTCTTTAAATCACTAAATTGTTCAGGATTTTAGCCAAATACTAGACCATTAGGTCCTGGATTTTTAAAATAGATTTTCCTGTTAATAAAGTGGTCTTGAGGCTATAATACTACATGTCGTAAAATACAACGTTCTCTTCAAATTGTGCAGGAACTTTTTAAGAATGGGCTTTAAGGCCCAGCCCAAAACAAGTCTAAGTCATTGAAATAGTTGATCATGCAGATGCCCCGGCAGAACTACCCTGGAAAAAAAGTGAACCACCCACCTTATGCTCTTCCTTACATTTGTTCCATCGCTTCTGTTGGGGTGCTGCGGTTCTCAACCTTCCTAATGCCGCGACCCTTTCATACAGTTCCTCATGTTGTGGTGACCCCCAACCATAAAATTATTGTCGTTGCTACTTCATCACTGTAGTTTTGCTACTGTTATGAATCGTCATGTAAATATCTGATCTGCAGGATGTATTTTCATTGTGACAAATTGAACATAATTAAAGCACAATGATTCATCACAAAAACAATATGTAATTATAGATGTGTTTTCTGATGGTCTTAGGCGACCCCTGTGAAAGGGTTGTTCCACCCCCAGAGGGGTTGCGACCCACAGGTTGAGAACCGCTGGAGAGCATTACCCGTTTACCTTCCAAAGCCAGTGCTTTGGGGCTCTGCAGACGAGATAGGTGGAAAGTGGTGAGTTTACAAGTTGCTAGCTCTTAGCTGTCATCAGTTTCTTTACTTTGGCAAAGTAATCGGCCATGATATTTTTGATTGGATGAAAAGTGTTGAACCACAGAAGGAGGGAATATTTGTTCCCCTAATTCCTCTATTTCCAAATAAGAGGAAATTCAGGCAAAAATCCCTAAGAAAGAATTTGCCTTTTTTTTATGTGCCCTGTAATAACACTCCACTTGCCTTATTGGAGAAGTAAAAGCTGTTGAGAGTAAGAGCTAACTTTATTCATTTCTGGTTATTCTCCTAATTCATATCACTTTTAAAACTTTCATACCTATTTAATTAAAAATTGGATCTTAATGAGGACAGGGCAAAGTGTTCATGAGTCTGAAGGTGCTAGTGGACCTTCACCTGATGATCTCTGTGTTTGCCTATGAAAGGTTTTCCGATGGTCTTAGGCGACCCCTGTGAAAGGATAGTTCGATCCAACACTTTTAGAAGTGTTGGGTTTGTACGATACATTCCAGCTCAAAAGGATGTGGCTGTAAGCAACTGCTGGTACTACTTTTTGATTCAGGTTAGAATTATATAATTCATTTAGTGTTTTCCTTCTCTACTATTCAGCTCTTATTACATCCAGGAGAACAACAAAGCACCCAATGTTATGTTTCATAATTTAACAGAGACTGGTGATGACTCAGAAGTATGGCCTTCTGGTAAATTATAAAAGGTATCTAGTTCTATAAAATCACATTTCTTGCAAAATGCCCACCGATACTGTTGTCTCAGAGTGTGTCTGGTGCTGTTCAAAGATAATAGAGGCTCTCACCTCTATTATTGTTGGGACTCTTTCTCTTTTCGTGAAGGATTGACTAACATGACTAACATTGAATCTCTCACTAGTATGACATGTCATCAGTTCTTGACACTTCCGCAATATGCTCATCATCTCATTCTGTGTTTTGCACTCAGTGTATTGTAATGATTCGATGCTAGCAATGACATAAATATTTTGAGGGGAAAAACAAAAGGTTGATACATTAGGTCTACAAATAAGAATGCCTTTATTCTAACTATTAGTATCATGAGATGATTGGCGTATATTGTATTTGTTTCTCTTTTTTGCTTGGTGGCTTTCAGAGTCTCCAGTGTTTAAGAAATATTAAAATTTGATGTACGGTATATTTTATAAGTCCTGTGTATGGATCTTATAAGATATCTCTTTTATGTTGTCACAGGAAATGGTTACACAAAAATAACTTCATGTTAACGTATCTGTGAAACTTTCTAGGTGTCTTTTTCTTGGATGAAACTTTCCTCTATTTCGCATGTAGTAGTCAAGGGGTTCTCATTGACTTTTAATCTGAAAGTATCTCAATTGATTCTACCTCAAAAACTGTTATGGTTGGTGTTGCCATAGTTACTATACTCTAGCTCCACAGTGGCTGAGGTTGTCTGTACTGTATAATTTTGCATTGTTTGACACCCCAAATTAGCCAATTAATTCTCCTTCATGCTTTATCATATCATAACTTAGCATTGCATGTTTATCACCAATAAGTCAAATTACTTTGATTTTAACTTTTTATTTTTAACTTTCAGGACACACATTTATGACATTGACAGTTTTGCTTATGATGCTGGTAGCCACTGGCTACCTGACTTAGCCAAAGAAGAGATAAGAAGAAGGTGCATACAAGTACACAGAATATTCTAGTTTTTATACGTTTCTGGAAGCATGGACACAATATATGCAGTAGTGGTCTTCATCTTGCACATTATCAGTGTCTTCCAGGTGCATAAGAATGTCAATAAAGCTAGAAGAAAAGACTGTGTCCTGGAATCGCATTCTCAACATTTCTAAGCCTCTTGAAAACAGGACAACTCACAAGACTGAGAGTGATTTCGTTTCTAAAAGTGTAGAGATTTGTGAGCATGAAGAAAAGGAAATAAGTTATTTTTTCCCATTAGATTTGTAATGTTATTTTTACTTACAAAAAATATATAAAAAATTAAATACATTAATTGGATATTGAAAACAAATGAAAAAAAAAATATTGCCCAGTCTCTTGAGGAAAATTGCCAAAGAGAGATGAACCACATTATAAAGTGACCCTTCTTGACTCTAAGGCATTTTTATCTTTCCTTGTTCCACTAAAATGAGTTTGAATGGGTTGGCAAATGTTTTAAATGAAAACATGTTAATGACTCAGAGTGTCAAGTTTCTCGGATTTAGTTGGTGGCAAAGAAGAAGTATAGAAGGAAGAAATAATTATTTCTTTGCCACATAAGTACAGATAATTAACAAGAATTTAGCTCCTTACTTTTAAGATGGATTAGTGACAATTTTAATTTTATTCTTCGGACAGTCTTTTTTTTTTTTTTTTTTTTGTAAAAGGATCCTGGGAAAGGGTGAAAGGATGAAAGGTGTTTTTTTTATTAACTTAATGTCTTTAAAAGTATCCAGAGATATTATAAGATTAACATAAAAAAGGTTCTATATTTCTGAAATGATTCTAAATTATACATCGTATTTTTTGTGATATTAACATTATTTATTTATATTAGTGAACACACTGGATTTACATGTATAATAAAAAAAGTTCAAAAGGATATGTAAAGAAAAATTTATTTTCCCTAAATGAAATAAATAATTGATCATATTTTTTTGTCTCATGTAGTATTTGAAATTTACTTTCTTAAATATAAATAATTTATCTCTAAATAAGATATTCCCTTTCTGCCTCCCATAAGTAGTTTACAATGATATCCTTTTGCTTATCCTAAATGTTTGGTGAAATGTTTTTGGTTGCTTTTAAATTATACTATATTGTAGTTTCTTAAGCATGTCATAATCCTCTCAGAGTATTATACTACTTGTTACTGATTTACCTAAAGGCAATCGAATTAATTTTCTAGATTCTTAATATATTCTTGTCATCTTACATTTTAAGTTATGGAATAGACTAGAATATGCACATAACTAAATTTAACAATCATTATTTGTCACATTACATCATCTGCTTTGTTGTTGAAGTATTTTAAACTCACTTCCATACGCACCATGGCATTTCACTGGAAATACTTCAATATGTGTTTCTAACAACACAGATTTTTTTTTTTTTTACCTAACCACAATCAGTACAAGTAACAAGACCTAACAATAATTTGCTAATAGTTTCTAATATTAGGTAATTCATTTTTTAACTCTCCTAAAAGTACCATGAATAGGTACATATCCACCTAATTCATTTGTTAACTAGGAGGGCCTGCTCTGCCTACTCTCTCTCAACCCCTCTTCTATTTCCCTCTCTTTCCTTCTCCCTTCCCTCTCTCCCTCTCTGCTGTGTGAGGACACAGTGAGAAGGCAGCCATCTACAAGCCAGAGAACTCTCACAAGAAGCTGACCATACTGACACTCTGGGGGCTTCTGATTTCCGTTGTTTAAGATGCTCAGTCTATGACATTTTGTTACAGCAGTTTTGCGTTCACACTATGGCCAAATAGAGTATTCACCGTCTTGTTAGTTTATAGAACAATTGGGAAATTCACTTTACGCTTTAAAGGTACGCTTTACATATTAATTTTTAAACTGCAAGTGTACTGAGATCTTTAGCACTGTGATTTTTGTGCAAGATATTTAGCCTCTCTGTTTCTTAGTCTACAGAAATGACAGTAGAATGTCAATATCTGTGGCGTGCTTAGAATAGTGTCTGGCACATGATACACTATGTGCTCCTTAAGGTAAATATAAGTAAACAAAATAAGGCATCTAAAGTTCTTTATCTGCATTTATATGTTTTTGTTTTAACAGATGGGAGTTTTATTGGCTGCTTGTGCTTAGCATAATGTTTTTGAGGTTCATCTAATTCGGGGCCTGTATTAGTACTGTATTCATTTTTATGGCTGAGTAATAGTCTCCTGTATGGATATACCACACTTTGTTTATCCATTCACCATCTTGATGTTGAGGGACATTTGGGTTGTGTCCACATTTTGGCTGTTATGAATAATGCTGCTATGGACGTTCACGTACAAGTTTTTCTGTGAGCGTTTATATGTTTTCCTGTGTTCTTGTTACTACAGAAAACAGTTCAGACTCCATGCCTCCTGTGTTTGTTTTATTCCTTGGGCCTTTTCATGACTATTAATTATTGGGCTGTTGCTATTTAACATATTCTGTTCCTCTATGTTGTAGTTCAACAAGAATGTGGAGGACTTCAAACCACAGATTTCGCTTTTCCTCATCCAAAACGTCTTGAAGGATAGAAAGTGTTTAGAAAATAGAGAAACATGTTCAGACTTGGTCCTCTGACCATTCATGTCTTTATCCTGTATGAATAACAGTTGTCTTTGTAAACATAATGACCGTAAGACATGTTCTTCTATTTCCTTTCTTTTTAAATATGTTTTTATTGATTTTAGAGAGAGAGGAAGGGACAGGGGAGAGAGAGAGAGAGGCATCGATGTGACAGAGAACCATCCATCCATTGCATCCTGTTACACACACCAACCAGGATGGAACCTGCAACCTAGGCATGTGCCCTGACCATGTGCCAGCTACTATGGGCCGATGCTCAAGCAACTGAGCCACACCACCCAGGGCTGCACTTCCATTTCCTCTGAATCTAGGGAGGTGTTATTAGTGCTGCTTTATTGTTTTTATCTCAGAGATAGCACCTTTCAAGTGTCAGGGATGCTATCTTGATATTTTAACCTTTTTTAGAATATCTTAGAGCCTCCTCCCAGATATATGTAGCAGTTGGTAGTCTTTTTATATTAATACCGTGGGAGTTCCATTGCACACTAAAGTTATTATTATCTTTCTAGCAAAGAATTAGGTACATAAACTTGTCTTGATCAAATTGCCGTCCATAGAAACCGAGTTATATTCAGAATATATCGGGGTTATCTTCAGTGCCCATTTCACTTTGAAGGAAGTATGCAGGTCCTGAACCCAAAATGCTTCTGGAAGGCGAGACCCCTATTTAGGGCTCTTGGCTTTTACTTGGACTTTACATTTCCTACCTTTTAATTCATGGGCTTTCATTCAGGGAGAGAGAACAACTGGTCACCTTCAGTGGCAGAATCTCATCACATGCGTGGGCAGAGGGGAGGTTATGGCTGTCCTTTTTGTCCGAAGTAGAGAAAGGAAAGAGACAGGCCACTCTGATCCAGGGCAGGGGGGGCGGTGGGGAGGGGTGGGGGT